TCGCTATACGTCACGTTGACAGTCATTTTCTCTAGCTTCTAATTGTTTACAATTAAATCATGGCAGTGAACAACCAAAAAACTAATTTAAAACCTTATAATATATGTAATTCTTGCAACAAAATAGGGGACAAGTATTTGCTATATTTACTGAATAAAACTGGAATCAGTCCGCATCAAGAAAACCTTATCGCAGCTATTCAAAAGATTTTGGAGGAAGATATCCCATCTTTTTTACGTAAAACCAGGGCTCAGCGGAACAAAATATCATCAAATTATTACATATATTTTATGAAACACAGACATCTGATGGAAATGAAAAATAAAGGTAATAATTATGCTTCTCTTTACTCTCCGTTGCGAAGAGAAGAGTTCCAGCCAGAATTTCAAAAACATTTCGCGTTAATAGAAAAAATCTCGGAACAAATATTTGGTTAATAATTATTTGTATCTATTTATTATTTTAAAATAAATAAAAACAGTACAAAGCAAAATTCTGGATAGGTACTGATTTTTTAACCATATGATAGCTGTCAAAAAAAAATTTCCACTTATTAATTTTGTTTGCCGAAAAATTTGAAGGTTGCTATGGGCAACTGTTGAAATTTTACAATTGGCTTAAAATGACAGGTGTAAAATTTTCTTTATATTTTTTTGGAATTTTTACAATTATTTCTGATATTCCCTATTTTTCAACATGCTTATTTCAGTCATGAGAATAAATATCTTTTTGTATCAAGAATCATTCGATAGAAAAATTCACATGCGAATAGTTTTTATATTTATTGGTAATATTCAATTCTTCATTTTGGCGTCTTTTCAACCCCTAAATAGGGGTGATTTTGAAAAATTTCGAAAAACTAAAAGCTATGGTCATCTTAATTTTTACGACGGGTAATTTGAGACCAAAATCTATTTTCTTTAGTTTTCTGCGAATTGAGGAAAAACGATCGATTTTTGCGGTCACTCTCCTCTGCCCGTCTTCATCAGTAAATTTTTTCTATTGAAAATTAACGCTTTGATTTAAAATAAACTCACAGAAATTCACTCGTGTAACCAAATCATTCGGTAACAAATCTTGCACTTTTTGGATATGATGTGGGTGTAGTAGATCACATCTGATCACTCAGTGCACAGAAGTTTGCGATACACCAATTTGTCGAGATAGAATTCTAGTACCAATATGTGAGTCATCTTCAATTATTGCATTCAAAATGACAACTTCCCGGAGTAAGAAAAATTCTAGAATTAAATTTCTCATAAAATTAAGCAATTATTTTTTAAGTTTGCCAACGAGTTAAATAATTCTGTCACATTTTAGTGGTGCATCACCCCTTACCAACCCTTTAAAATGCTTCACTTGAACTCTACTCACTGTCAATTAATGCTCTTGGTACACTCACACCGTGTACCAAATTTGATTTTTCCAAATTCAAGTATAACTGAGACATTGATTTTTTCGAAATTTGAAATACACCCCTGTTCTGTGTCGGCTCTTATATGAAGCACCCAGTATATTTCGTTGGTAACAAAGGTTTTGATCTGGAAGAAAGTTATGAAGGTATATACCATGACGTAAAAATGATGGCTTCGCGCAATTTTCTTGTGAGGCCAATACAATTTTATTATACTAAACGTTACAACCACAAAAATTGGAGGACTTCTCAGAAATATAGAAGAAATATTAGATCTCAGTTCTTTTGTTCATTATACAGTAAATTCCCCGTACACCAACAGTTGTACCAATTGTAATAATGTAATTTCGAAAGGTATCTACATAAACACACTTGCTAAAAAACAACTACTTAATTGCAGGATTTCAATTAATTTATTTCTTCACTAACGGTTTGTTAGTAAATTCTTTTATTGATTATGGAAAATNATCTTTTTTGTTATTTCTGCATCAGAAAAGGTACTAAACCGATGATTTTCACCCATTTTATATATCGCGTTGACACAATTAGGTAATTATTTTGACAACTATCTGACACTTGCTACGCAAATAAAAGCCACAGTGATTATTCCCGAGAATAATCACAAGAGATTTATTCCCACTATAATAATGACATAATTGGTTGAAACTTACCCTTGTGACAAATAAAGAAGCAATTCATTGGTTTTAAGAAACGTCAAAAAATAATCTTTATATTTTTTTGGAATTTTTACAATTATTTCTGATATTCCCTATTTTTGGGGATGATTCCACCCCTTGAGCGCGCTTAAGGGTGGACTTTCTAATTTAACATGTTTATTTCAGTCATGAGAATAAATATTTTTTATATCAAGAATCATTCGATAGAAAAATTCACATGCGAATAGTTTTTATATTTATTGGTAATATTCAATTCTTCATTTTGAGCGTCTTTTCAAGCCCTAAATAGGGGTGATTTTTGAAAAATTTCAAAAAACTAAAAGCTATGGTCATCTTAATTTTTTACGACGAGTAAAATGAGACCAAAATCTATTTTCTTTAGTTTTCTGCGAATTGTGGAATAATAAAGTTCGTATGAACTCTGCCTGTAAAATTGATAGTTTTAAGGTTATAAACAATTTAAGTTGCTAAAAATGCGAATCGTCATTTTCACATTTTTAGCAACTTAAATTGCTTATAACTTTAAAACTATTATTTTTAGAGGCATAGTGCATAGGAACTTTTTTGTTTATAATGTGTCAGGAAAATACGCAAAAAAATCGAGTCGGAAAATTTACACCACGAATGCGAGGTTTTCGCCTTGTCTATTGTCTGATTGCAATCAATAGCACGTTTTCGAGTGTTACTGAAAAACTTGCCTGTTTCTCGGGCCCGTCTTTCAACATTGAAAAATGTTTCTGTATGGATGACTACACGATTTGGAAATCTTCTCCGATATTCTTCGACACTTCTTCTATAGTTTCCTTCACAGAAACCTAACACTATTAAGCATGTCAACTCGCTTGCTAAATGAAAACTTCCCGGAGTAAGAAAAGTTTTAGAATTAAATTTCTCATAAAATAAAGTAATAATTTTTTAAGTTTGTCAACGAGTTAAATAATTCTGTCACATTTTAGTGGTGCATCACACCTTACCAACCCTTTAAAATGCTTCACTTGAACTCTACTCCCTGTCGAATTAATGCTCTTGGTACACTCACACCGTGTACCAAATTTTGTTTTTCTAAGTTCAGTTCAACTTAGTATAAAGGTAAGTTGTGTTAAATCACCATATTTTGGGTTCCTCTATACGCCCCTGTTCTGTGTCGGCTCTTATGTGAAGCACCCAGTATATTTCGTTGGTAACAAAGGCTTTGATCTGGAAGAAAGTTATGAAGGTATATACCATGACGTAAAAATGATGGCTTCGCGCAATTTTCTTGTGAGGCCAATACAATTTTATTATACTAAACGTTACTGCCAGAAAAATTGGAGGACTTCTCAGAAGTATAGAAGAAATATTAGATCTCAGTTCTTTTGGTCATTATACAGTAAATTCCCTGTACACAACAGATGTACCAATTGTACCAATTGTAATAATGTAATTTCGAAAGGTATCTACATAAACACACTTGCTAAAAAACAACTACTNGCTGCCTCGTACTTAATGTAGGATCAAGATGAACTTGTCCCAAAATTGCAACTTCACTAGCTTCATTAACTATAGGTTTTTCAATTTCTCGTTTTTATTGGCTACGTTCCCTGTCTTTTGAAATTTTTTTATTAACTCTAGAACATATCCTGACATGTCGATCTTGATGTTGTTCATTAAATAGCTGAGCTGTTCTATTCGCACACTGCTGTTTAATTTTCAAAAAGACTATTAAATAAACTACCAACCAACGTTTCCAAATAATACTAGAATATAATATGCAATCCACTAATTTTACGTTCATTTCTGTTTTTTACTTTTGTGTTTTTTTACGAAAGTGATAACAAATCGCCAAAAACCAACGTAACGCAAGAAATACAAAATTTATACCATTGGCGTACTTAACTCGATTGACTGACATTTTTACCGTTACTAATTGTTTGTACATAAGTATCAACTTTAAAATCAAAATTCTTAATAAGTATTGACCGGAATTATAAAATTGAAAGTCTGTTGTAAAGAGAATTGTAAGAGCTTTCAATAGAAATATTACTCAACTCCCAAAGTCAATTAAAAATTTTGGGGTGATGCTTACTGTTGCTTGGGGATGAAAGTGGCGGAGTCAAAAATACCAGCAAAGAATGTCGCCCTTTAATCTAAAATCGACGGGTCTGAGCGTTTTTCTACAATATTGACGCAATTCCTGAAAATGGCTCTGTTTCGTTTTCATTTGGCCACCCTGTATAATTATATCACGCTCGTGCGTCGTATATTTTATTTTGCAACTAGGGCTAAAAAATAAAAAAAATTCCAGGTTGCAAATTTGAAATTAAAAAAAAAATATATAGATTTCAATGTATAATTATGAAACCTACCATGAAAAAAATCAGTGTAATTGTGGAAGATCCTCGGAATCGTCCAGACTAATAATTAGTTAATATGTTTATAAGGTCATAACTTGTAAACTATTCCACTTACCGAGAGGATCCGATGCCAAAACGTTCTGTAATACTACCACAGTTTATAAGTTCAAAAGTCATAAATAAACTTCTTCTGTTTATAACTTCTGATGTAACCAATATTTTTTGACGCTCGAGGGTTAGTTTTGTAGTTCCTTTGAAGACGAAAAAAAAGTACTTTACTGTTTTCTCGTGGAAATGATCGGAAAAAAGTATAAGCGAAAGACGTGAATTTACGTAAAAATTATACAATTAACCACCCTGTAAACAATCTTCCCCCCATTTTTATGACTGTGGAAACTAATATGTTATTGTACATAATATTTAGCATCTACAGTGATTAATTCAGCTTGCCGAAACAAAAAGTCGCGAAATGGTCATTTCCCAGCTTATATTCTTGGCCTATAATAGCATTAATCGTATTATAATTAGTTTAAATGCCCTTTTAAACTTGCTTCACTATAATCTGTATTATTGCTGACCAATTTATGTCTTCAAAACAATTTTCTCAGTAAATTTAAGAACATTTGAAGTTCAGATTATCAAAAAGAATTCTGCAGGGTGTAGGGTTATGGATTTTTCCATAATTTTGGTAATATGAAGAATACAAAAAAATGTTTCAGATAAAAGTTGGACAAAATCAATTTCTTACCATTTTCCTCCTAATATATTTTTAAAAAATTCAACGTCCTGACCAAAAACGAAGACTTCAAGGGCAGACGTTTCGCATACAAGTATTTTGAAATGAAGTAAGTGCAAAAATTTTTTTACCTTCAAGTTTATAAATTAATACATAGCAAAACGATTCTTCGCCGTTACATTCCTCTCTTTCAATTGATTTGTCGTCGTTGAAGCAAGCGGATTGTTGTCCTCCGTCGCATTTCTTACATTTTGGACCACAGATCGCTATAAAGTGAAAATAATAACGAAACAATCAAAATATTAAAAAACTTAATAAAAGCCTCTTACCTCTGTGAGAAATGACCGCGAATACGAACAGAAATACAAACACTGAGTTTTTCATGATTAATATTTCACTGTTTTTAAAAACAACAGCTCGACTTATATACCCTTCAAAATTGCACTTAATGACAGGGCTTTTAAGAAAGCATTAGTCTGTTATCGTAGTTAATTTGTTTTTTTAATGGTTTCTTTTTTCACAATTAGTATCACGAAAATTCGAAACGCAACTATAACGTAATATTCCGGAAATATAAGATCATACGATGAAACTAAAACGTTTTTCCTACGAGAAACAGTCAGCGTCTACTGAGATCCGTAAGTTTAAGCCATTTTACTGTAAAACATTACTAGTTTATTGATGTTGAATATTAAGTGACATTAAACCTATAAACAAAAGAGAGAGATCGTTGTGGCAGAAAATATATTGGTTCAAAACTTTCACAAGATGGTACTTTTATGGGCACAGTAATAGATGCCAGTTTGTACAGTATAGAAGCTTTCAATCATATAAATTCCATTAATGTTCAGGAGCTCCAAAAGGGTAAAATTTTAAGTTTCGAAATAACGATAACGGGACTTAACTCGAGAAAATCCAAGACTGCACGCTCCTTGCAAAAAAAAACAGTTGAAAGGATAATCAAAAAATTTCAACAAACATAAGTCTGAACAGAAAGAAAATGTATCGAAGATACACAACTTAATATATTACTTTCTGTGCAAGAAAATCCAGATATATCCATAATAGTCGAGGGAACCAAGGGTTTTCCCTCCGAATTCTTTCAGAATAACTTAATAAGCTTAATAAGAGTTATTGGTGATTGAAAATGTACATTTTTTATTAAAAAAAAAGACGTTTTTCAGTAGTTTTCTTCGAATAACTGGGAAAATAGATACTCTATGAAAAAAAACATCACAAAGAAAATGAAGCTTATAAAAAAAAATTATTGATTTTTTTTTGTTTATGTAGGTACAATAGGTGCTGAGATACGGCTAGTTGCAGATAATTTCAAGTCCGCCAGAAACTAAATTGGAAGCACTTAAGTAAAATAACTAAAAAGAATTATATTTTTCAAGAAAAATACACAGAACATTTTGAAAGTACAAAAAATCCTTAAACTGAACTTGACTTTAAGTCAGTAGCATAAAAATTAACAGAGTTATGATCAAAATAAAGCTAGCTGTTAATTTGTTTTTTCGGAAAAAAAATCAATTCAAAAATTGATGAATTTTTCACGAGATTTAGAATTAAAGGTAATCCTACAATTTACATTTTTTATGTGCTAACAATATATTACACAGGCTGTTACAAATTCGCTTCTCACTACAGGGGTCTCGGAAAAGGTAAGAGGTACGAAGTAGCTTAAATGGGGGCAGAATTGCGTAATCAGGGGACCAATATTATGCCTCTAAAAAATCAAGGCTAACGCGATTAGTTTTCGGCATATTATGTATTTGAAAAAACCGAAATTTTGGGAGATTTCAGCTTTGTTTGAGGTGATATTGAAAAAAAGAAGAACACTTTCTCATGGCCACTTTTTGCCCTCTGTCGAATGGCATAATCAATTTTTATATGTAACGTTTCGTCTCTCCAGGACCATCATCAACTTAATTTTTTTTTTAATTTAATAAATTTGATAACACTTTTTTGCAAGCCTTCATGATCTCCAATACTGTACTGCCTCAGCCCGAACCAGATTCAGACGTTTTATCTCGAAAAAGTCATCTTCAGTGTATTCGTTTCAAATTTATCTAATCTTTTTATTTAGATTTATTTGTTTATTGAATTATCGTACAGTGTAAGCGGTGTTAGACCCTGCAAAATCCATCAAGTTATTTAAACTATTACCATCCTGTTGTTTCCCTGATTACGCAACTTTGCCCCCATTTCGTACCTCTTACCGTTTCCGAGGTCCCTGTAGTGAGAAGCGAATTTGTCACAGCCTTACAAGTTTAAGCAGTTTAGAATACATATTTTTGAACATATTACATTTTGATTGAATTTTTTTTTTATTCCAAAAAATAACATTGTTGAAAATAACTCTAAAAATAAAATAGAAAAATATTCAAGAGTACAAAAGTTTAGATTTTTTTTCAAAGAATATATTTTTTTATTGGTGTAGGATAAAAATTAACAGAGATGTCGCTGCTAGAAGTTTGCAGTTGAGGGCAAAGGTCATGTTTTTCAATTCCCTTAGCCCCAAAAATCTCAAACATAATGCGTTAAAAATATTCAATTTTACAGTGCTTTTAGCTGCAGAAACTTTCCGTAAAATCGTTTTAGGATCGTCTTAATAGATTTAAGTTATCGTTAAAAAAACCGACGGTACCTTACCGCTTCAATTTTCGGAGCATATCAATATTTTGGTTATCCACAACTTTGGAGCATTCTATATACACAAAATACCTTCACTTTTTCCCTTTAGTCTTTTAATACTTCTACTTATCAATTTTAAATGTGTAAAATTGTTTTTATTTGTACCTATAATGAAGGGTTATTTTTTGAGAAACCCAGTGATTTGATAAACGCCTTTATCAAAAGCCATTTTTTATATTTTGTCATTGGGGGTAGTTTTTAAGGTTTAAAACAATGCGATAAATTATAAATTGTAACGAGCGTTCAAATAAAAACGTCAAGTTGGTTCTGAAAATTTGGACGTAGGGCGTAGNATTATGACACTTTACCCAGCCTACTAATTTTTATTTCATTTGCTTTAAGGGGGCATTTAATGAGCTTACCGTTTTTTCTATCCAAACATTTAATATTATGCCTACGTAAACGTCATTTGTGAAAGTAGAAAATTAATTTTTGCCCCACAAAAAGTTTTTCCACGCATGGTGGGTGTCTACAAAATGGCAACAAAATATCAAAAGCAATCTCAATGAACTTGGGGAAAAAACTTTTTTTGGTTTTAATTTTTTTACGTGCAAATGGTGCGTCGTACGAGAGTAAGTCTAGCGACCGAATTTGCTGTAAAATAAATGGAAATTTTTAAAATAATTTTAGTTTTTAGAAAAAGCAGTGGCGTACTATTTTTTTCTTCAAAAATGTTTAGTTTAAACCTCGTACGGACGTCATTGGCAAAGATTTTAAAACAAAAATGTCTGGAGTGATAAGAAAATTATAATAAAAAAGTAAATATTTTCTTAAAACTGTAACACCCTGTAGCTCAAAAATTAAGAGGTGTAGGACATATGTTGATATTAAGTTTTCTTTTTAAAATGACCCAAGGATTCACACCCTTAAGTATCGGCATTCAATTAATAAACACCCTGTATAATAATGCTATTGCATCTACACCAACGGAGGAATAACGGACATGCGTTTTGTAAGAGACATGTCAATGGTAATGGCATTGAAGCTCGTCGTAGGAATGCCGAGGCTTATCCTAATCGTCCAAGTACTTCTTGTTCATCATCGGGTCTGGGACAGTGAAGGCTTTGATAAAATCGACATTAAGACATTGTAATATAATTTTAGAACCAAAATAGACAATTCAGTGAAATATAGTAGTTATTCCGCACAAGCCTTTGGCTTTTGGATTTGGGGGTTGTCTCATTTCTATGGTGTGTTTTATGTGTTTTATCTTTCTGGTTTCGTATCCCCATCTATATCATCTGAGAGAGTAAAACAATTTGTATTCACGATTAAAATTAGTTGTGATATGCAAATTCGTCTTTATTAAATTTGATTTGAAACAAAAGTCAACGGCTTCAAGTGATCAAACTGATTGATTTATTATACATGAACGGTATCAGACTACAACCAGAATTTCTTGTCAGTATTGCATAGATCGGTGGTGCAAGTTATGCATTTTCCTAACTCCCCGACGGGATTGTCGAAGGAATCACAGAAATTCGTGTCGTTCGAGCCTTTCGGTGGCTGCCAACATCTTCTTTGGACCAACGTGAGGGCGCCCCCTAGAAAAAGTTATGTCTTAGATGCCTTTTAAGAAGTGTATTTCTTACTTTGATATGCCACCAGAGCCTCGTAACATTGGGCGTTACGACCGGCGCAATCTTCGTACACCCCTATCGCCGAAGCTTCGGCGCAATTCGTGAGCGGCCCACCTTGGCAGCTGTAACACCTGAAGCCGTGGACAGCTGAAAAATTGGCAATGCTGTACAGTGTGTTTCTTAACTAGAGGTCAAAAAATCCAGTGGCGTATTATGTGGCCAAAAATAGGGGGTTTTTATCATATAAATGCGGGGTCTTAGGACAGTCATTGCCAGCTACAGCGGGTCAAAAATTAAAAAAAAAAATCAGTTTTTAATTTTTAATTTCTAAACCGCTTGAGATAATTTAACCAAATTCTGTGTGGTTATTTAGTATGACAGTAGGTATGAAACAAAAAATTACCAGTTTTAGAAACTTACCAGTGGCGGAGGTGTGGGTACCATCGGTCATTATTTGCCAAAAAAATATAACACCCTGTATATTATTACAAATAAATTAGGTCATCATATGCGCCATTTTATTATGTTCACTTTTTGTTTCTTTACACTTTTTTGTATTCCAAACCGATTAAAAATAAAATTGATTTATTTGATCAAGTGCATCTTTACGATACTCATTAGGTACATTACTTGAAATAATAGACGAGGGTGGATCAGTTTTGAGGTGGATGTGAGAGGGGGCAAGCAAATTTTTTCTGGATTACCTTCAGTACAACTCACATAATAAAAGTGTAGATCCCTAGATCTGGACGAGGTCCGCAACATTTTCAAAATTGTTCCGGACCTCGGCCAGATCTAGGGATCTACACTTTTATTATGTGAGTTCTACTGAAGGTAATCCAGAAAAAAATTGCTTGTCTCCTACGCAAGGTGTGACTTTGAATGGGGGTTATATTTATATGGAGGTTACTTTTGACTTTTAGAAAAACGTATCGTAAGTTTGTTTTCTCAAATTCTCGATAATTTGTGTTACTTTTATTCAATGGGTGTTCACCACGAATCCTATCATCCTAAAAACTATGGTGACTTAAAAATAATGCGTCACTAAGTCATACAAAGGTACACCCTGTATACTTTGTCCTAATTTTAAACTTTTATTCACTGTCGTTTGGCGTAACAGTTATATTTGTACACTTCAAGTGGCTTTTCCCTCATTTCCCAGATCTTGAAATAATATTATTTGGAAAATCTGCTCTCTTTGTTGAGTTATATGTCGAGCTAAAAAAGAAACCCCTACATTTAAGTAAAAGCGCCATTATTCTATGGCTAGAAATTGGCCTCAATGATTTGGGATCGAGGGGGATTATCCCTCTTTATCCTGCCTCATCTCGTGTAGGCCTGGACAGCCTTCGTAGGTGGGCCCCATCCGTCGTCTACCCCGACCGCAAATGCGGCCGGTGTAGGCGCTTTGTGGGACCTCCTTTTGTCCTGGCTGGGCCCCGCCGGCTAGGGCCCTTTCTTCTGGCGCTCTTCTTGCTTCGCCGGCTNATTTTAAAAATTTACTGTGGCCGTTCTAATCAGCCGATTTAAATTTTACAAAAACCATTTGAAAGGTTGAGCGGTCTTTTCTATGTGAAAAAAATTTCAAGTATCTAAATGCTTTATTTGAGGCTGTGCAACATTTTGAAAATTCGAAAATTTTTTTCAAAATTAAAAAATTATTTTGCAAAAACTATTAAACCGATTTTAATGAAATTTGGTATGTTATTTTATTATACCTTAAAGTCTAAGTTTTTTTCATCAATTATTGCTACTTTGCAACATCGATAATTGTGCAAAATTCAGTTCTAAAACTTTTTTCCTCTTCAATATTCTTCCAAAATGCAAAGGTTCCAAGATATAAGTAAAAAGCTCGGATAAAATAGGTATTTTTTAAGATTTTTTAAACATTTTTGAAATTTTGAAACTGTTCCGGACCTCGCCCAGATCTGGGGATCTACACTTTTATTATGGGAGTTGTACTGAAGGTAATCCAGAAAAAAATTGCTTGTCTCCTACGCAAGGTGTGACTGAATGGGGGTTATATTTATATGGAGGTTACTTTTGACTTTTAGAAAAACGTATCGTAAGTTTGTTTTCTCAAATTCTCGACAATTTGTGTTACTTTTATTCAATGGGTGTTCACCACGAATCCTATCATCCTAAAAACTATGATGACTTAAAAATAATGCGTCACTAAGTCATACAATGGTACACCCTGTATACTTTGTCCTAATTTTAAACTTTTATTCATTGTNGATTTGAAACAAAAGTCAACGGCTTCAAGTGATCAAACTGATTGATTTATTATACATGAACGGTATCAGACTACAACCAGAATTTCTTGTCAGTATTGCATAGATCGGTGGTGCAAGTTATGCATTTTCCTAACTCCCCGACGGGATTGTCGAAGGAATCACAGAAATTCGTGTCGTTCGAGCCTTTCGGTGGCTGCCAACATCTTCTTTGGACCAACGTGAGGGCGCCCCCTAGAAAAAGTTATGTCTTAGATGCCTTTTAAGAAGTGTATTTCTTACTTTGATATGCCACCAGAGCCTCGTAACATTGGGCGTTACGACCGGCGCAATCTTCGTACACCCCTATTGCCGAAGCTTCGGCGCAATTCGTGAGCGGCCCACCTTGGCAGCTGTAACACCTGAAGCCGTGGACAGCTGAAAAATTGGCAATGCTGTACAGTGTGTTTCTTAACTAGAGGTCAAAAAATCCAGTGGCGTATTATGTGGCCAAAAATAGGGGGTTTTTATCATATAAATGCGGGGTCTTAGGACAGTCATTGCCAGCTACAGCGGGTCAAAAATTTAAAAAAAATCAGTTTTTAATTTTTAATTTCTAAACCGCTTGAGATAATTTAACCAAATTCTGTGTGCTTATTTAGTATGACAGTAGGTATGAAACAAAAAATTACCAGTTTTAGAAACTTACCAGTGGCGGAGGTGTGGGTACCATCGGTCATTATTTGCCAAAAAAATATAACACCCTGTATATTATTACAAATAAATTAGGTCATCATATGCGCCATTTTATTATGTTCACTTTTTGTTTCTTTACACTTTTTTGTATTCCAAACCGATTAAAAATAAAATTGATTTATTTGATCAAGTGCATCTTTACGATACTCATTAGGTACATTACTTGAAATAATAGACCAGGGTGGATCAGTTTTGAGGTGGATGTGAGAGGGGGCAAGCAAATTTTTTCTGGATTACCTTCAGTACAACTCACATAATAAAAGTGTAGATCTCTAGATCTGGACGAGGTCCGCAACATTTTCAAAATTGCAAAAATGTTTAAAAAATGTTAAAAAATACCTATTTTATCTGAGTGTTTTACTTGTATCTAGGAATCTATGCATTTTGGAAGAATATTGAAGAGGAAAACAGTTTTAGAATTGAATTTTGCATGATATACTGTAAGTTATAAATTATAAATTTATTACCGATGTTGCAAAATAGCAATAATTGATGAAAAAAAGGCAAAATAATCAAGTTTCTTGGATAATTTTTTAAAAATATTTTAATTGCTCCGAGGGCGTTCTAATTTTAGTAAAAAAAACTTTATAGTATAATAAAACAATACACCAAATTTCATTAAAATCGGTTAAATAGTTTTCGCAAATTAATATTTTGAAAAAAATGTTGAAAAAAAAATTTCGAATTTTCAAAATATTGCACAGCCTCAAATAAAGTATCTAGATACTTGAAAATGTTTTCACATAGAAAAAACCTCTCAACCTTTCAAATGGTTTTTGAAAAATTGAAATCGGTTGATTAGGACAGTCACAGTAAATTTTTAAAGTTAACACTCTTTTTTATATTTCTAAACAATTAGATTNATAACTGAGACATTGATTTTTTCGAAATTTGAAATACACCCCTGTTCTGTGTCGGCTCTTATATGAAGCACCCAGTATATTTCGTTGGTAACAAAGGTTTTGATCTGGAAGAAAGTTATGAAGGTATATACCATGACGTAAAAATGATGGCTTCGCGCAATTTTCTTGTGAGGCCAATACAATTTTATTATACTAAACGTTACAACCACAAAAATTGGAGGACTTCTCAGAAATATAGAAGAAATATTAGATCTCAGTTCTTTTGGTCATTATACAGTAAATTCCCTGTACACAACAGATGTACCAATTGTACCAATTGTAATAATGTAATTTCGAAAGGTATCTACATAAACACACTTGCTAAAAAACAACTACTTAATTGCAGGATTTCAATTAATTTATTTCTTCACTAACGGTTTGTTAGTAAATTCTTTTATTGATTATGGAAAATGAGCAGATGGAGTTTCACAATTTTTTATATTGGCACAACCTAACATTACGTCCAGGCAATTTAATTTACCATTGTCACAGCATCCCTTCTTCATTAGTTTCCCACCTTGACCTAGAAAAAGGGTTACCTTTACTTAAAATATACTCTTTGCACTTCTAAGATAATCAATAGAGGTTTTGTTTGTGACAGAAATACTATAGTCGAGGCAATGAAGCACCCAACCTCGGAATTTTTTGCACTAAGACGGATGGGAATGCGGTTTTTTGCATTCGCTTCCAAAAATTTTTTGTAAAAAATCTATCTGCTTTGTATCTTATACAAACCGGAAATTGCATTGCTGCAGCCAAGCATTCAAAAAATGCATTTTTTGAGACGGCTTTTGGAAGATTTAATAACTTTGTAAATAAGAGTCAGAACTGGCCCAAATCGGGTCTCCGGGAGTTATCGAGGACGCTGATCACGATTATGATGTTCAAATTGACCCACAGCCGACCTGGCGCTCAGGAACGCCGATGAACGTCATCTCCGTGGGACTCTCCCAAAATTCACGCTCGAATTCAAATGTGGCATCGGCGAACACCCCCACGGACACCTGGTGCGCCAGAACCTGGACGTGGACGTCATCCCCGAGAATTTTCCTGACAAGATCGCCAAAAACAACCCGGAAATCATTGTAGGGGCATTTTTGGGCGCTTAATCCAAATTTCACGTCGAAACGGTCCCCCGAACACCTAGTGCACCGGAACCTGGGCCTGAACGTCGTCTCCGAAGGTTTTAAGGACACGATCGCTAAAGACAAACCGAAAATCGTTATAGGGGTTTTTTGGGGCCCTGAATCCAAATTTCACCCCGAAAACGTACGTCCGGACACCTGGTGCACCGGATCCTCGGCCTCGGCCTCGGCAGGAGATTGTAATCTGTTGTCCTGTAGTTGCAGGAAGCACGGCCTCCCTTGCAATCTTGCCTGTAAAATTTGTAAAGGCTCAACTTGCAACAATACTGAAAGATATTCAGATAATCTACTTATGAATACGTCAGTTGATGACGAAGAAAATGAACAGACTAGCGGTGTGTCACTTGATGAAGAATTTTATATTTAGTTACGTATTTAAAAATTAAAGTTATTGATAAATGAGGTAAGGTAAAGTTACAGTTAGCTTGTATTTGATTTGAGTTCAATAAAAATTTTTTAAACGCCAATTACATACCTAAATATTGACTTTCTATTCATTCGATTTCTTTCCTCCTCACATAAATTAACTAGAATCAACAATTCCACACAGCTATTGCAATATTGACGTCAGTCTCTAAGACATCAGGTTTGATTGACATTCATGGGAATGACATCGATGTCAAGATAAAGATTCCGGTGCACCAGGTGTTGGGAAGGTCGTTTTCGACGTGAAATTCGGATTCAGCGCCCCAAAAACCCCCCATAACGATTTTGGGTTCGTCTTCTTCGATTGTGTGAGGAAATCCCTCGGAGATGACGTTCAGGCCGAGGTTCCGGTGCACTAGGTGTCCGTAGGTACGTTTTCGGGATGAAATTTGGATTCAGCGCCCCAAAAAAACCCCATAACGATTTTCGGTTTGTCTTTTCCGACTGTGTCTGGAAAACCTTCGGAGACGACGTTCAGTGCCAGGTTCCGATGCACCAGGTGTCCGGAGGTACGTTTTCGGGATGAAATTTGGATTCAGCGCCCCAAAAATCCCCCATAACGATTTTCGGTTTGTCTTTTCCGACCGTGTCTGGAAAACCCTCGGAGACGACGTTCAGGGTCAGGTTCCGATGCACCAGGTGTTCGGGGGGTCGTTTTCGACGTGAAATTCGGATTCAGCGCCCCAAAAAGCCCCCCATAACGATTTTCGGTTCGTCTTTTTCGATTGTGTGAGGAAAACCCTCGGAGATGAGGTCTGCGTCCAGGTTACGGTGCTCCAGGTGTTCAGAGGGTCGTTTTCGACGTGAAATTTGGATTAAGCGCCCCAAAAAACGCCCCCACCATGATTCTCGGGTTGTTTTTGGCAATCTTGTCAGGAAAACTCTCGGAGATGACGTCCACGTCCAGATTCCGGTGCATCAGGTGTCTGCCGATGCCATATTTGAATTCAGCGACCCCAGAAACCCCCGGGTGCCGAGTTTCTCTCCTTCCCCGCGTGAATTTTGGGAGAGTCCCACGGAGATGACGTTCATCGGCGTTCCTGAGCTCCAGGTCGGCTGTGGGTCAATTTCAACATCATAATCCTGATCAGCGACCTCGAAAACTCCCGGGAATCCGATTTGGGCCAGTTCTGACTCTTACTTACAAAGTCATTATATCTTCCAAAAGCCGTCTCAAAAATTGCATTTTTTGAATGCTTGGCTGCAGCAATGCAATTTCCGGTTTGTATAAGATACAAAGTAGATAGATATTTTACAAAAAATTTTTGGAAGCGAATGCAGAAAACTGCATTCCTATCCGTCTTAGTGCAAAAAATTCCGAACTTTTGGCCTCTTTAGTGCTTCATTGCCTCGACTATTTGGCACAATTGCAATTTGAATTTAAAAAATTCATCTCCCAAATTTTATCACTCAATCTTTTACCCCTCCGTAGGGAAGCGTCCTATCAAAAATTTTTATAGGGCAAAACTTGATTATTTTCATCGGAAGAATACGCCATTAAAGTTTGGCAAAACTTATCATTAACACTCTGTAGTAAAGCGTTTCGAAAATAAAGACATTTTTCTGGTGTAAATTTAAAAACATTTACTAATATTACACACATGTTGAAGATGAAGATTTCAAAAAGGATGTTACCGCGTGTAATGTTATGGATTTTTCCATAGCATTGGTAACATCAACAATACAAAAAAATTTTTGAAATAAAAGTTGGATGAAATCAATTCTTACCATTTTCCTCCTAATATATTTTTTAAAAATTCATCATCCTGCCCAAAACCGAAGATTTCAAGGGCAGACGTTTCGTATACGAGTATTTTGAAATGAAGTAAGTGCAAAAACGTTAGTATCATCTTTTTTACCTTTAAGTTTATAAGTTAATTCATAGCAAGACGAGTGTTCGCCAATACATTCCCCTGTTTCTATTGATTCGTCGCCTTTGAAGCAGGCGGATTCTTCTCCTCCGTCGCATTTCTGACATTTTTTATCACAGATCGCTATAAAGTGAAAATAATAACGAAACAATAAAAATATTCAGCTCTAAAAACTTAATAAAAGCTTCTTACCTCTGTGAGAAATGACCGCGAATACGAACAGAAATATAAATACTGAGTTTTTCATGATTAATATGTCACTGTTTTTAAAAACAGCTCGTCTTATATACCCTTCAAAATTGCACTTAATTACTGGCATTAGTCTGTTATCGTAGATAATTTGTTTTTCTTTTAATGGTTTATTTTTTTCACAATTAGTGCCATGGAAATTCGAAACATATTTGTAACGTAATATTCCGGAAAAATAAGATCATACGACGAAAATGAAACGGTTTTCCTACGAGAAAAAATCAGCGCCTACTGAGATCCGTAAGTTTAAGCCATTTTACTGTAAAAAATTATAGTCCTATCATAAAAATAGTGGTCAAATAACGAAAATTCCGACAGAGCTAAATTTTGATGGAGAACTTGGGTACACCATTAGAAATAAAGTGTCCATCGATCGCATGTGTGCTAAAAAAGTTATTCGTGGTCAAAGGATCACCATTCCTGAGATATCGCGATTCTAAAAGTTGAAGGAGTCACATTCTACATGATATCGTTAACCTACTTAGCAAATGTCTAAGTCCATTTTTTATCGAGACAGAGAATTTGGTGGACTTACGACTATTTCTGCCCTCGAATCGAATGCAGTGGACATTCGACATTTGCTAAGTAAGTTAACGATATGTCGAATGTCCACTGCATTCGATTCAAGGGCAGAAATAGTCGTAAGTCCACCAAAATCTCTTTCTGGATAAAAAATGGACTTACGACATTTGCTAAGTAGGTTAACAATATATGCCACGTATACACATAGTCAGGCAATTAATATAAGTAAAAATGCCTATTTGTGTCTCTTATACAGGATGTTTATTGATTGAATGCCGATACTTAAGGGTGTGAATCCTTGGTTCATTTTAAGAAGGAAATTTAATATCAACATTTGTCCTAAACCTCTTAATTTTTGAGTTACAGGGTGTTACAGTTTTAAGAAAAAATTTACTTTTTTATTATAATTTTCTTATCAGTCCAGGCATTTTTATGAAATTTTGTACACACCTATTAATCATTAAGGAGCATTGTTTGATGTAAAAAATGTATTAAAATCTTTGCCAATGACGTCCGTACGACGTTTGAACTAAACATTTTTGAAGAAAAAAATAGTAGGCCTTTTTTTTCTAAAAACTAAAATTATTTTTAAAATCTCCATTTATTTTACAGCAAATTCGGTCCCTAGACGTACGACGCACCATTTGCACGTAAAAAAATTAAAACCAAAAAAAGTTTTTTCCCCAAGTTCATTGAGACTGCTTTTGATATTTTGTTTCCATTTTGTAGACACCCACCATGCGTGGAAACACTTTTTGTGGGTCAAAAATTAATTTTCTACTTTCACAAATGACGTTCACGTAGGCATAATAACGAGCGTTCAAATAAAAACGTGGTCGAAGTTGGCTCTGACACATTGGACGTAGGGAGTAGCTTATAGCGACCAACTTAACCTCATTTCTCAACGAGCTGTATAGCAGCTGTCAGTTTCAATAACGTTAATGACTATATAACTTTATTTTAAAGAATAATCGTGATAACAATAACAAACAATTAAAGGAGCTGCGGAAAG